TGATAATGTCTTCATGCACGGCACGCTTGACTTTTGGGCAGAAAACACCGTGAATTATCCAAATAGTGCGCGCCTGGGCGGTTGCGAGTGTATATGTGGCATGTAAGAGGTCCGTTTGTTATATTTCAAGAGCACAAATGAGCCGCGCGCCGGCTGGATAATCGAATATCCTCATTTCGTTTTGTCGGCGGCGCGTTCATTGTAATGCGCGCAGGCGGATTAAAGTGGGACGCGACCCACATAAAGGGCCCTACAAAGGCGCGCACTTAGCCGCGGCCAGCCGACGCTGAGACGACGACGTCACGCTTGCTCGGTGCACACATCGGCTCTAGTTAGCTGCACTGAGAGAGTATGTACATAGTGTAAATACCCATCCAATTGAAACATGCCATGCGAGAGCGAGTCCATTATCAAATCGACCGCGCAACATATTGCAACAATGTCCGTGCGCTAGAGCCACCTTGTTTAATAAAAAGCGTCCTTTTTGCTCATGCTGCTTTTTGCCCTTTTCCACCGTGACTTTACTCCAACTCTTTTGCAATTACTCTTATAAATCTCTTTTTATAGAATAAATCTTTTTGATTTGATACAATATCAATTGTTTCAATACAATTTATTTAAGTATGAAACACAGAAAAATAAATTGATTAATGTAGATGAAGTTATTTTGCTTCTAGTATAAAATATATAAATCATTATTATTATTTTATTTAAAGTAATGCAAAATATATTAGAGTAGGCTTGAAAAGGTCTTAAATGTTAAGCAAAAAAAATTTAATAATATGCAAAATAAATAAAAAATTATTTATTAAATTAAATTAATGATTTTTTTATTGCAAAATCAAATAATGTATGCTTTTATTAATATTGCTTATATTTTATAATGTTAGTTGGTATTAAATTTAAAACGTTTAAAGCTTTTTTATAGTTTTTAATTCTTCTTATCAATGTCTCTGATGTTAATTATGAGAAAATAAAAACATTTTGCTCATTATTATCTTATAATGATCACAAATAGCACACGAAAAATGTGAGATTTAAAACACTCCATCGTCTAAAATAATTTTTTATGCAAATATGAAGTTTCCTCCTTATTGGTGGCGCACAAATTCGCTATACGCTCGAAGTCAATCATTTCTCTCACATAGCCACGGGTATAACAAAAGTCGACGGCTTTGCGCAATCAATGCATTCAAACGAACTTACTTTGCCGCCGTCGCCGCTGCTCTCGGCATATACACAACCCACTGTGCACGTTTGTGGCAGCAAAGCTAAAGGGAACTCGCGCGTCTGCTACTTCTAATTCTCATTAGTGCTGCATGCACTGCTGACGTGCAGCCAGAGTCATTTACCTGCGAACAGACAAAACAAAACAAATTAATGCATTAGCTGCACACGGCAATCAATCTAAAGAACGCGCGGCGAATTAAACTTCACCGCAGTTTGTTCGTTGCTCTCGCCGAGCTTAATTTTGTTCCGACTGTGCGGAAAAATTCCTGGCGGATGAAATTAATTAACGGAAGGTAATGCAGTTAAGTGCTAGGAGAGCAATGCACATAAATATACACTTGACAAAGGGCGTGAATTTCACAGGGTTGCATGCAGAATTTTATTTCTGATGCAGCAGCAGTAATTTTTAGCGTCTGCATGCGAGGAATTTATGAAAACACGTCGACGTAAAAAGTACTCGGAAAGTAAAACACGGCGCTTTTGCCCCACATTTCCGCTCGGAGAAATGTTGCATAATAAATTTTGCACTCGGCGTAGAAACATATTAGAGGGAGGAAGACGGAGGAGCGTGTGCAGGAAAACTTCAATAGCGTCGGCAGAATGTAAAAGTAAAGAGCAGAGCGAGGAAAGTCTGGAGCGCGAATAAGGAGAGAAAAAGAAAAAGAGAGACCGGCGCCTCGCACTACTTTGCAATCTGCCCCGGCACACGCAGCGCAAGTGAAGTAATCTTCTCGCCTTTCTTTTTGTTTCTTTTTCTAACACTTCTTTTTCCACCGCTTTCGGCAGAAGCGGTCTCCGGGTTATTCAATATTTGCATCATGCCGCCGGGCTACGAATATATACGCACGCAGAGAAAAAAATAACAGTTTGCACGAGAAGCGGGAAAGAGAGCAGCCACAAAAGTGGCTTTTGTAATAATGCATAAATCAATACTCCGTTTTGTTGAGCACGCGCTTAGCTTGATTTGAAGATAACCTTAAGTACACGCAGTGATGAAAAGTATGGAAAAATTAACAATAAATAATATCTATTTAAACATTGTTTATTTAAAAAAAATAATTCTATTTAGGTAAAATTAAAGATTAATCTAAAAAATTTATTTTTTTTAAATTTAAAATTATTTTGGTGTTTCAATGAAAAATTGACACCGGGCGAATCTCGTTGCAAAGAAAAATGAAAATAAAAAAAAATGAAAAATTACAAAACACAAATATGACCCCCAAAAGGCAACTTGCGGTCCGCTGGTACTTTCAAACATAGGGCTTGTCTTGTCCAAACTAAAACTAAGCGGAAAGAATATATAAAAAATTAAAAATTAAATGGGGTGAATTTAATTTTAATAAACAAAATTTGCAGAAATAATTCCAAATGAATATTAATTATTCATGAATTGTGTATATATATATATAAATTTGTTAAATAAATTAAAATCAATGTATCTGGCGACATAGCGTACAAATATATATAGTGACCATGAGTATGTACATAATAAATTGAATTGCAAGCCTTATAAGGATTATATTATAGTATTTTTTGTTGTTTAGTAATTAATATCAATTCTTTTCTTTAGAACATGGTGCATCCATTAAACATAATCACACATTTGTGTATTCTATAAAAGATCGAATTGAATGGAAATATTCATCAAATATGCGATTCATTTTTCCCAGAAATATTCATTATTTGCGCAGTCTGTTCTTAAACGAAACCACTTGTTCTGCCAGCCGCAGTGTAAATAAACGCTCGCTCACAAATCTCAACATTTCACACTCAAGCGTTTTATTTTGCTTGGTAATCTGTTTATGATGGAGTTGGCTTTCACAGATTACGCTCGGCGACTGCTGCTGCTGAGAAATCATCGGTTGCGTAAATAAAAAGCGCCGTCAGAAATTGTTTTGTCAGGCCAAGAGCGCGTCAGAGACGTTTCATGTGGATTAGGAGACGTGAAATAATGATGAGAGCGCGCAGCATCCATCCCAAAAGGAAAGAAAAGAAAGGAGTCATCGCCATGCATGGTGTGCCTTTTTAAGCCTCTTATTCACCCACGGTTATAATGCATATCAATTTTTCAACACGGTTACATAATAAATGCGCGCGCGGCACCAAAAAGCACTACTTCTGCAGTGACAGCGGAAAAATAATACACATATAAAACGACGACGACAACGAGCCAAGCAAAACATATACTTCAACGTCACATTGTTTTGCCGCAGCAGGCAGCAAGCGCAGAAAATAAAAAAGGCAGCACGGAAAGAGAGATTCATATTGCCAGAGCCAAAAACACGCCAAATTAACTCCGACTGATTAATTTCCGCTGCGAGGGCGGCTTTTATTTTGGTTGTTCTCGGCCAATTTGGAGCTGCATCAACGCATGCCCCTGGGGTTGATTGATCGCTCAGATAAAACAAAACACACCCCAAAAGGGTAATTCCATTTCCACGCCGCTCTCCTTCTCCTCTGGCCGGCAGCGGCACCCGGGGACTGCGGCACGCGAAAAAAAAAATACGCAAACGTTTTAATAAAAATGATGAATCTCGAATCAAGACGAAGTTATTCGCAGCGGCGCAAATTGCACTTCAGTGGTTTCACTTTTAGCGCCGCAGCCGGGCTTGGCTTTTCTCTCGGCATGCAGAGCTAGGGAGCGCTTGGTGGCGCGGGCGGGCGGAGGTTTGCGCACTAGGGGAAGTATTACAACCTTCTTCTTTATGGAGCAGGGGTCGTTCCCTTATATTTCCCACACCAACCACCGCCACCATACTGCACAAGTGTATAATGTAGCAAAAAAGAACGTCACGGAAAATGACACAAGAGAGAAAAGAAAGAGGCGCAGGCGGCGCTGTGTGCGGCGTCAAAGTGAGAGAGTGTGTACGCCGCCTATATTTGTGCGGAAAAACACGCAAAAAAAAAAACGACGTGCCGAATACAAATCTCATTCACATGGCGCGTTTTCTTCCCAGGTGACTTTTTCACACATTAATATACGTTACTTCTTGCGCAAAGAGGCGCGTTTCATCTCAATTAAAAAAGCAAGAAACTTTATTAAAAGACATTGCCAATTCTGGATGAATTTTTAACAATTCTTTTACTTTGATCTTCTAATTGAAGTTAATTTCCTAGCTGTTTTTCCATTTGTCGTTTTGGTGTTAGAGTAGGGTAACCCTGTGTTGAGATGACATGATGAAAGACTAAAATGATTTTTTTATACAAAAAATAAATAAATTTAATTTTAATATATATGGTATTTGTTAATTAATTAGTTTTTGATTAGATTTTGCAGTTTTTTATTAATCAATGAAAATACTGGTAATTAAAATAAAATTACCTAAAAATTAATTTCTGCAATTTTTACAAACAAAATAATCAAAGAGTGTAAAAAAAATATTTAAAATAAATTTTTATTAACATCAAGGATGAATTTTTGATAACTTATGCAGTTGTTTTAATTGTTTTTCGTCGGTTTCTCCACTTTTATAATTTATTTACCTCGTAACTGTTCAGGCAAGGGCAAAATATTAAGTTCTGTGTAAATTTCATCAAAATTGGTAAATTGAATTAAACAAATTAGCGAGATTTTAATTTATTCATGAGTGAATACTAATTAATTTAAGGTCATTACAAATGACTTGCACTTTCTTCTTCAATTATGAGAAACACATAAATAACATTGAAAATATTCCATTGTTGCTTTATTTACATTGTTTCAGCTTGGAATTCTTGTAAGGTCGATTGTCGGCGTCTCATTGTCAGTTTGAGTAAAGGCCAAACTTGAAATGGTAAGCGAGAAGTCGCCTCGTTTGAAATCTCGGCTCAAAAAACCAGCGGTGGTGCCGCAGATCGAGGAGCAGGATGGCGGAGAGCTCGCGTCGGGAGAGTTATCGCTGCCAATTAACGCCTCGGAGGACATGTTCCGATATGAGAAAATCGCCGAGGCGGGTACGGTGGCAGGCGGCGCGGACGAAGAGAGCTGCAGCAGCAGCAGCACCGGTGACGCCTTCTCGGTGCCCGACTTCATGAAGGCCAGCAAGAGGAACGCCGGCACTTTTGCCGTGATCAAGGTGGAGAGAGACAAGGGAAACATCCACTTCAGATTGAGGGCAGATATTGATCCCAGCTGGATGGTACAACAACAGCGAGCGAGGCAGGCGGCGACCGAGGCTGCGGCCGAGGCGGAGCGCAAATTAGCCCAAGTGGCCGAATACAAGCGCAAATCGCGCGCCAATCAACTCGATCGCAAGAGACTCCGCCGGATTGCGAAGCCGGCAACAGCTGCGAAAAGTAGTGAGCAACAAGTACGGCCCGCTGAGGATCCGCTCAAACATCTCAAATCCGAGGTAAAGCTCATCAGAGCGGCACCTAAGTCGACCGCCGTCAAAACGCCGCACAAGTCGGCGACAAAAGCGGCTCACAAAATCAGTAACGGGAACAAGCAGTTGCCGGTTAAAAGTGTGCAGCTCAAATCTGCGGGCAGCAAGAAAATTTCCAAGCCGCAGAAAAAAAGCCTGCTGAGTGCCGTGTTTCCGACGAGGAAAAAGAAGCAGCCGGCCAAAGTGGTGCACTCGCCGCGAGCGAAGAAAAGCCCAATCAAGAGGCTGATTAAGAAAACGACCATTGCTCTTCTGAAATCACCGCGTCCACCCAAAGTCGTGACAAAATCGGTTATAAAGAAGGAGCCTAAAAGCCAGAAGTCCCTGCAAAAGAATAAAAGTGCTGTAGTGAAGGTTGCAAACACGCGGGTAAATGACAAAAGAGAGAGCAGCAAAAAGATTGACGCAAAGCTGGCAGTGAAACCAAAAGCTACCAAAGTGGAAAAACATGCGAAGACGATCAAGGAAAAGCCAAAAATTGAAACAAGAAAAATAGTAAATCGATCAGAGAAAATAGAAGGAGAGAATAAGAAAATTCCATTGAAAACAAAGGACCAACCCAAAAAAGTAGAGAAAAAGGAAAAGAGGCAAATTCAGAAAACTCCTAAAATTGCGTTGAAAGATTTTGACAGCAGAACAGTCGTCAAAGAAATAAAGCAGGACCTCAAAAAGGAAGAAATTATTCAAATCAACAAAGAAGTTGGGCCATGTTTCTCTGAAATTTCTTCAGGTAAAGGTAAATTTATCTTAATCATTATTTTAAACACATAACGTTAAATTGAAATTTAATTATTAGATTTAAATTATTTATTAATTGCAGCACATAGTCGGTCATCAAGTGAAAATCTATCAAGAGCTCGGTCGGCAAATATTTCTGCAACAAGTTCAGGAAAGGCAAGCACCAGAAGCAGTTTAAGTGAGCATGACAAAGACTATGAGCTTAGAAAAATAACCGTTGTTGAGGAGATTGAGGAGGTGGAAGAGTTTCAAGAATCACCGCAAGAGCCCGAAACCATTGTTGCAACAATCACCGAGGACATTGCTTTGGAAGAAGAAAGTTTGAAAAGTCGGTTAAGTTCAGAGAGCAACAAGAGCTCACAAAGCCTCAAAATTTCAGAAAGTTTTAAAACCTCGGTTGGTTCAAAAAGCTCAAAAGCGTCGTTAAGCACCAAGAATAGCAGCCAAGGAAGTGACTTGCTCGTCGCAGAGAACAATTCTGAGAGTGCCATGGAAAAATCTGAAATCAAAGAAGATTCTGGAAATGAGGAGAACAGCAAGTTTGAAAGTGCTCAGTTGACCCCTCAGATGACTCCTCAGATTACCCCTCAAACCTCCGAAAATTCCCCCTCGTCATCCACGCCCAACAAATCTCTGTATGAGCTGCAGCTGGAGGCCGATAGAGAAAGACTTGTCCATCAATTATCAAACGAAGCTTATTCAGACGATTCATTCAACACGGACGACGCATTCGAAGAGCTGCAAAATTTGCCCGAGGACTTGATATCGACCCTGACCGATGACGAGTTTGAACTGATTAAGGGAAAGGTGGAGGAGAAGAAGAGGATGTTGAAGCACGTGAAGCTTTCTGAAGGCCATGACGAAAGCTACTTCACAGCGGAGGAGTCTGATTCAGAAATTGACATCACAGACATCGACTTCAGCGAGGAGCTCATCCAGATCATGAAGATGCGGAAAAGGTCAAGTCAAGCACAGAGGGATTCGGTGCAGACGGAGAGGAAAGAGTCTGAGGCGGATCGACAAACTGAGCATCAGGATCAACAAAAAAAGGGTTTGCTGAAGAGGCCAAAGGTGAAGGCGGAGCAGCCAGTTGATGAGGAGATTAACATATTCAAAATGTGCGAAGCCTGTGGATGGAAGGTGTGCCCAGCGGAAAAGTACAAACCTGAACCACCAAAGGTAAAATAAAATTAAAATTAATCATTTTAAATTATTAAATAACAATAAGATTATTATTTTTTTTTTTTAATATTTAAATTTAATTTTAAAAGTTGAATTTTTTAAACTCTTTAGGAAGGTGAAGAGGCGTCACCAGAAAAGGAGCACGGCGAGTGCCCCCAGTGCACCAAGGACGTGGTCAAAGATAGGCCATCGCAGGCGGACTGCCTCAACTGCCGCGGCGTCTTCGGCAGCAAGACCATGTTCAAGCTGGAATTCGATTTCAAGGAAAAGAGGAGCAAGGCCATTTGCACCATCTGCCTGGGGCCGTTGCTGATTGCCCAGAAGGAGCCGCGCGTCAAACGGGTGCCTCCGCAAGGTCTGCGCATGGACATCAAACGCGACCCCGTCCTTGCCGAGATGATCGCAAAGTGGAGCGACAAGTTCGACCGGCACACGGGTGATGGTTTGCCGCACGACCTCGGCGTCCTCTACAGGACCATCTACCAGAAGAGCTACGCCGACGCCCCTGAACTCAACGTCGTCCGGGTGAAGCCACCTGGTGCGGAAATTCCGCCGAGGCCCAAGTACAAATGCCCCACCACTTTCACGTTGGACTACCAGTACATGGGCAAAGGTGATCGACCGCAGAACCCTCGCATTGTCTGCAAAGAGCTTAATCACTGCTCATGAAGAACTATTAGGCGCTAGTTGAGATAAAAAAAATCCTACCTTTAACTCAAAAAATGTTTTACTTTAATACATAATACATTTTAATAATCAATAATAAAAAAATTTTTTTTTTATATCTTATAAATATCTCTTCTGAAATGTGAATAACTAAATATAAATAATTATAGATAATTTCCGAGAAAATTTTAACAATATATAATAACATAATATTTAATTTAATTGATTTAATTTTATAGTAGAAGATCATGGGTTGATTAATAGTGATTTGAATTTAAATTCAGCTTTTCCTCGATGGGTTTTTGTGTGTTTTTTTTTTATTTTTTTTAGAAAAGCAGGATATTGTTATTTGATAAACAATAAAAAACACTCACAAAAACCATCAAGGAAAAGCCGAATTTAAATTCAAATCACCATGATTTAATTTCAATGCTTTTGGCTAAGACTGATAAATGGATAATTATTTCAAAAATAGAAATATGATTAATTGGCTAATTTAAGCAATTATTCAATTTGTCACTTCTTGATATTGTATTTGTTTTAATTTTTTGGCATTAATAATTAAATTCATCAAATACGTTTCAACCATTATTTTTCTTATTGTTATAAATGGATAAAAAATGAATTCCAAAAAGTATATACCGTGTTTGTGGCTCTTGATAAATTCAAAGAAAACCAAACGAGAATACAAAAGAGCTTCGGGGTCGCCAGGGTGTCGTTTTGGCTTCATCAAATGTCACGGTTGGTTCGAGTTGGCGAGACGCCGCTTTCGGCGGTCTCATTTCAATGCAGGAAGGTGAGCCTCCAGTATAAATCGTCTCGGCATCATAATATTTGAGGCCATTTGTCATGCCCAAAAACTGTCAGAACCTTACGCCTGTAAAAATTAATTTCAGAGCGCCATCAAAAACAATTTTTATTCCCTGCTCTCCGGCGGGCGGGCGCGTTTGCTGCCTCTGGCTCATTTTTTATACCCGCGGCGGAACACAAGCAAATCTTTTTCGCGCCACTATCACTCTGCCATTTGAGCTGCTTTTTCGGCTAAGGGCCTGTTAATAACAGATCCGCGACGTGAAATTTATTTTGCCGCGAAAAATCAGTTGGGTATTAAGCGCATTAGGGGTGTGTATAGGCAACCCGGCCGACATCCACACACATTTAGTGGTTGTTGGTATATAAAATGTTGTTTACCTTCGGGCTATAAAGCATGCGCTGGCAAAATAAACAGGCGCAGCACCATCTTTAAAGTATATGTACAGCGTTTTATAATTTAATGCCGCCACCGTTCAAATGCACATCCATTATGCAGGCACGTGTGAAATGGAACCATATAGACTACTTTTTTCCCCGTTGCCGCTGCAGCAATACAGCGGCGGGCGAACATCGACTTGCCCTCTTTTCCTTGAATATTAAAAAATAGCGTATGCGTTTTATTTTACTGCGCTCGGGATGAAGGGGCTGCTGAGAGACCGCGCCGCTTTTTGAGGAGTGCTCTGAATGTTTTATGAAGTCGGAGATTTATCTTACGCCCTCCCGAGCAAAACAAATTCTAAATTAGACCCTCTTGCTTAAAGCCTGAGGTTGTTCTTTTGACTTCAGCATATTTATATCTGAAATTTAAAATGCTTGTGGCGTAAATTGTAAATAAATAATTTCGCACCTCGGTTGATTTGAGCATCACTTTGACTAAGTAAGCTCTGCTTTTTGCAAATCCCCTGCAGCTGGGAAATCGTTCTTTCTTGCACGGTGGGCAACGGATTGAGTTCTATGCAGATTGCCAAGCCGTTTTTATCGAGCTGAAGCAAGAGCCCCTTTGCAGATGCGTTTCTCTCTCCTCCTCTTTCTCTCCCATTCAACCCTTATATAGCCATGCATATAACACACATAAAGCTCAGCGAGACGACGAGTCTTGATGTACGAGAGTGAGTATAGAGCGAAATGAAATGTAATACATTTCATTTCCTTCCTTTGTTTGCTCAGCAGGATCGAGATCAAATGTAGGCCATCTTTTCAGCATCAGCAACCTTCGGTCTCTCTCGTTCGTTTGATGCAACTTTTACGCACACAAAGAAAAGTTTCGCCTTGTTTCTTTTTCATTATAGAGAGACCGGTGATTTGATCTCTTTGCGTCAGATATGAGCCTTTACCCAGCATCTAATGATGACAGTGAGGGTTTGAAAAGAGCAGCGTTATAGTGGGCGATTCTCTGAATTTCCGCTCCGCACTTCTTACACGGAAAGTCTGCTGATTTTATAGCATCATTAATTATTGCAACTCCTGTGTGTCTCAATTTTAATGAAAATCAACGCATTAAATATATAATGAAGTGAAGTGCCGGCGACGTAATGCGCAGCACCCGGGAGAGCAGAATTAATTCAGTTTCAAAGTGCTAATCCAACGCGCCGGGGTAATTGTGAGCGTAATTGTGATGCCTCGTGGTTCTCTTGTGTGCGTCTTGGTGCTCTCGGCTCGGACGGAGAGCAACAAACAGCGCGCCACACCTGCCTGCCAGATCAATTTGCATAACAACGGTGCGCAATATGCATACACGCAGCAGACATCATTTGTACATGGACGCGGTACATAAGTAGCCTCCTTCGGAAGAGTTTTTCAGTTTGGCGAGGCGAGTATATACAAAAGCATTTTATTTTATTGCCGAACGCATCGGCAAACCCGTTCACAGGGGGAAAGATCTTCTCTCGAGAGACCACACAGAGCATGAAAGCCCCGTCAAGTCGTTGGTGTGCGAATTGCCCGCATCTTCCATGCGAAAAATTAAAATGGAAATTTGGATTTTTTTGCGATATAAAATATATTACAATTATTAACAGAAAAACAGTGATTAACATTGATAAATAATAATTTTGCCCTCTTGAAATCGTGCATTTCTTTTGCGTTTAAAAATTCTGACGCAATTTATTACTCTAAAAGCCACGTTGCAATATGTGTGCGCAACAATAACTAAATTCGCAAAATACAAATGCATTCAAACATATTTCTCATTTTCACTCTTAGATTGCATTGTGATTATGATTTACAAATTGATTGATTTTATTTTATTAACGGAAAAATCATTCATAAGAATTTATAAATTTTGAAATATTATTTTAAATCTTTAAATAACCCATTTATATTTACACAGCTTCCAATAATTTAATGAAAGTTAAATATCTATACTCAGAAAACAGAATATCCATTTCCTTATTTTCCAACAAAACTATTTAGTTATCTTACAGCTTTGTTCCTAAAACCATTTTTTATTTTTGTTGAAACAAAACAATTTGCATCATGTAAATATATCCTTTTTGTAAACACGCCGAGTAAGCTTTTGGGAGAGTTACTCTATGAGCAAAAATGGTTTTGTGTATTTTCATATGCCTATATATACGTGAAACGTGAATAAAACTTTGTTGTTCATTTTGCTTAATTTTTATTAAATTAAAAAATTGTGCTAATTCTGTAACTAATTTAGGCCTTTTTTAAAAGCCGTGCAATACCGTTGATATGGTAAATTAGGACCTCGCTCGCGTCCGCTGTTAATTATTCAAATCCCTGCTTTCAGTGCAAAAAAGCGCGGCCGTCCGGTCCGAGAGAGTAAATAAAAAGCGCGAGTGAAAAAATTTTGGCGCTGAAATGTTGGCGCGGCAAGTGGGGGAGGCGCAAATCCGCTTTGGGTGTTTTGCGAGAGCAAATCTCGGTTCGACGGCGTAAAATATGCCCATCATCGAGGGTAATCGTGTTTTTCCAATGGCTGGTGTGATTATGTATGCGCGCGGCGCAAAAAAGCAGCGCCCGGCCGGGCTGGCGGCGGAGGGCGAACGGAAAACGGGCAGGGTGAAAATTGTTTAATACAACGCGCTGCTTGCTCTACCATGGGGAGCGAAACAATAAGTTAAGAGGTGGAATGAGTTTTGGTATATAATAAGAGAGAGAACCGGCCGGGGTTGATGTCGGAGGAGGAGAAAGGAGAGAGAAGAAGGGAAGTTTAGCAAAAGTATAGAGAGTGAGCTCTGCGTCGAGCAAGCGAGAGAGGGAAGAGAGTAGAGACTTACGGGCATTGTGGTGTGTTTGCCGTTAAATCGATCGATCTACGCTGCTATATAATACGAGTCCGAGTTATATACGCCGGCGAACTTTCCGCCCAGCTCTCGAGCTGCTAGGGATTCCAAATAACAGATTTATTTATTTGCAATCACACCAGATTTTCTTTCTTCAGGGAAAAAGTTTATTCCAAAGCGGATAATGTTTTTGTGAAAATCTAATCACAAGTGGAAAATCTATTCACATTTCTTTCATTGTGTTTTCTCATGCTTGAAAATGAATGAAATAAATTATGTTATTAATCATAATGACCTCCTCTACACATTTATATGTATGCATTTTTTATTTATTTTTTTATTTTTATTTTTTTTTAATTTCTTTTGGAAATTTGCATACGGTTAAACTTCAGGTTAAAATATTTTCTGTAAAAGAAATAAAAAATTAGTTCAAAGCGTCTCAGGTGCAGCGCCGCTTTTTTTATTTGTATAAATATGCAACCTGCAAAACATGGCCTTAAAAAATGTTTAAAATAAATTTTTTATTTTCATTAAAAATATACCAGAACAAGTTAACCTTGTCAGGAATATAGGAAATTAAACAGTTTTGAATAAAATTGAAGCAATTCTTGTGTTTGCAGGCTGCTTATTTATACAAAAATATATTAGGCAATTATTCGCGGAAAGTTTTCAGCCAGGAAAAGGCAGTTTCCGACCGTCGTGTGCGCACCGGATCAACACACACACATAGCAGGTGGAAGCGGTCCAAGCAAAGAGCCTCAGGTGGTGGATGGATGTTCTCCACAGCTTGTTGGCGTTATTTATGTCGTAGCGGTGTATTAATTTGTCAAGGTGCCCGGCGCCGAGTAATTAAATCAATGTAATTAATTTGGTACGCGGTGTCGGAGACGCGCGCGTGGCAGGACCCAACTGTTTGATGAGTTAATACTTCCTCCTTGGCTCGCTTCTTCTTTC